TACCCCCTCCCATACCCGCCTCCGGCTCGGGCCTTCGGCCCTCAGATAACGCTGCGCACTATAGTTACAACCATAAATACTTAGCCCGCCCAGTCGGACATCGTAGCTCCCCACCCCATAAATGATATCCTAGAGCCGCCACAGCACCCACCCCCATACCCCCTCCCTCGTCAATACAGAAGACAATAAGAGAATTATGCCTACACTGTATAGACAATGTTTGATCTTGTTAAAGCAAAAAATACAGCACAAGAAATTGCTTCGTCATACATTGAATAATATAAATGAAATTCAAAATTTACTAGAGCCCATGAGATATCGCAGACAATTATACTCCATAAACCCTACAACACGCTGACATATCGAGATGCAATCAAACCTTACCCATCCTGAAACACGGTTCGCAAGCTGAACTGCACACAATTCCACTTGTTCCAACGCTCGCTGAGATTCGCTAGACAAGATTCATACCGCCGTCACGCTTTCTGCATCTGGTATTGATTATTCATGATATTTAAATAATGTTCCTCGGGGCTGCTAGATTTAGTCTTTACCGAACAGCCGGAGGTACGTTGTACAGCGCCACCTGCGTTAGGGCAAAAGTTGTTCGCACATTTGCAGACATAAATGATCAGGCATTTGCATTTTTTTTGTAGACAAAGCGTATGTACGGAAGCCCTAAGTGCCAGCCTACTTGACGACTTGTCAAGATTAATTATTTTGTCAAGTCGACATAACATACATATCATGTCGACATGCACAGATAAGTTTTCCTGCCATATCGACTTAACTTTTAAAAGTTGCCATGGTGAGATACATTATCTTGTCAAGTTAACTTAAATTAGCCATGTCGTCATGACGATATAGATTATATTGCCAAGTCGACATAGTAAAAATTATATGTTGTCATGGCGATATAGATTATCTTTCCAAGTTGACTTCACAAAAAGTTCATGTCGTCATGGCAAGATAAATTATTTTGCCAAGTTGACTTTTAAAAGTTGATAAGTAAACATGGCAGGAAAACTTATCTGTGCATGTCGTATATTATGTCGAATTCTTGACAAGATAATTAATCTTGACAAGTCGTCAAGTAGAATGGCACTTATGCGCTTCCGTACGTATGTATACACTTAGTCTACAAAACGCTCTCAAACTGTTTCCACGACTTTCTTTGGCTGGTCTGAAGTGTGATATCATGATACAGTAAAGCCCCTCCTTTGGGACACCCTTATTAAGGGAAATTTTTTTTTGGCCACAGACGAAGGAAAGTATATCTTTACTCATTCTGACCTATCCTTATTCAGGGGACACCCTATTAAAGGAACACTTGCGTTGGTCCCACTTAATAGTGGTTCTATTTTATTTAAAATTATGAATTGTTCATGTGGTATTATTTAAATTTCCATCTTATTTGCATATGTTATACAAAATGGTAATGAAAATACCATTTCTAAAGCGCAATGAAATGTAAACATCAAATTTGGTAACTAGATGATTGTTTAAATAATTATATTATTAATTGAGATAATTTAAATAAATGCATATTACATTGAAACAAAACACACATAATTAGTAAACGAAGTAATTGCGTGTAATTGCCTTTATTAGGTAAAACCCCTCTATTGTATAACAATTACTATACTGTACTATGTATTCAGCATCAGATATGTTATAAACTATTGATATTTGTATTTATTGGAATTTTGATTATGCAGACTATAATTTATTATGCATTACGTATGTAATTGACTAATACAATAGCTTAATACCATTAATTTAATAATTATAATAATTATTATAATAATGAATTAAATAGAAAGGTCTAATTAATAATCATAATGAAACAAGTAACGAAGCAGGATAAACGATTGTTGAGCATGCGGAGTGTTCTTCTTTATTTCAGCCAATCACAATGATTATTCAACTGTTAAAATAAGAAAAAAAGGGACGAAAATCATTACTATTTATTAAATTACTTCAGGAAATATATTAATTATTAGGCCTATAATTACGCCTCGCAGAATGCAATTATACAGTCAAGATATAGGTCCATAGGAAAATGGTCTTTCTACAGTGGTGCCTACAATACTGAATATTAAATTGCCAGCCTTTTCCTTTTATTAGTTACTTCAATATAACATCGCCTCATCCTTGCCATTTGATTGGTGGTTTAACAACACATTGCATTGGATTGGCCTATCATTTAACGAACGAAAACGAAATTATTATAAAAAGATTTGAGTCATTTATATGTAGCTTATTTTCAATTTATACTGTACTCATTATTTTATGTTTCGTCCCTTTCCAAAATCAAATAGTAGAACTCTAAACTTAGTATCTTGAACTTAAAACTGGTCGAGTTCCTGAGCATCTTATTTGATGGATTCGGCGCTATTTAAAACTATTTTAATTATTATTATTATTATTATTATTATTATTATTATTATTATTACTATTATTACTGTTATTGTTATTATTATTATTATTATTATTATCATCGTCATTGTTATTGTTATTGTTGTTGTTGTTGTTATAAAAGATATAAAATATTATTATCATCATTATTATTATTATTGTAATTGTTATTGACATTGTTGTTGTTGATGTTGTTGTTGTTGTTGTTGTTATAAAAGATATAAAATACTTTCCATGTTAGTATTAATACAAATTTTACTAACCGAATAAAAAATGATCAGCGCAAAATTTTGAACATCCTTCTAATTTCTCTTTTATGGCCAACAACTTATTCTGTTCCCAATTCTTCGGCACATCCTTCCTGTATATGAAAAAAAAAATTCTTCGGGCGTGATGCTGCGGATGCGTATTGCTACCAACATAAACATATATTTGATTCATTACAGTATCTCGTACGTACGAGATAAATATATAGTATGAACCGCCGACTGCTCATTGCCGGACAGCTAGGCTTAGGCTTAACCATGCATTTACTTCCACTCCGATATAATAATAGCACTTTGAAAACGGTTATCGGTGTTTCATAAATAGCAAATACGCAGCGTAACGACTACTCATGGGGCCCGGGGCCAATAAAATGGGGGATGTGCATTGCGTTTCAGGTAAGTATTTTTGCTCTCTACTTTAAGGGGTGAAATCTACCTACTTAATTTCATGGCCGAAGACTGGCGTGCAAAGTCTCTATTGTGTTTGGTAGTAAAAGGAGCTCGCCCCGCCCCCTCCCACTTTGGTTTTAAGGCCCAGGCGTCACCCTTCCCCTCCTGACAGTTTTACGGGCTGTTGTTAGAAAGGTAATAGATCAGTCTCTCGAATTGGAAGGTGCACTGAATTATACTAATTTTGTTTTAAATTTAAGAGCTTTAACGACAACCATTCCCTGACAGGGGTTCCAGATGGGGCCCAGAAAAGGGTGGCACCGGGATTTTTCCGTTGGGGGCAGACGAAGGGGAAACATCGATTTTATGGTCTACTAATATGTACAAAATACAGATAACTGGTTTTTCTCCCTGACGAATAGTTGTTTTTCTCCCCAACGGGGGCCCGTGCCCCCGGCCCCCGCTGCCGCCACACCAGGGCGCAGAGACAGCTCATTAGGGTTATCAGAATCAAGAAAAAACAACTTAAATTTCTCCAAAATAAAAAATTGTCCTGCCGAATACCATTTAAAAACTATTGCACATTAAAATACATTCATAAAAATAAAAAATATACGATACAATATAATAATAATAATAATAATAATAATAATAATAATAATAATAATAATAATAATAATAATAATAATAATAAAAATCATCAGATTTTTAAAAACGTAAAAAACAAAACATTAATGTAGAACATATTAAAAACATAAAGACAATTTAAGCTCCATTATTGTTGTAAGTATTATTAATATTAGTATAATTATTATTATTATACTCATAACAACACCAACAACAACTAGACTAGGGCCTATGTCATAATAAGAAGTGATGTTGAAATTACAAAAACAAAAGTCATTTAAAAAGTCTAACGTAAAATAAAACTCGAAAAACAAAAATGAAATTATACAGACAATAAAGAAAATTATGAAGTTAAAACACACGAAAAGCATCTTAACGTGAAGATCAATACCCACGGCGTTATTCGCCTATTCATATTTTAGGAGCTGACGACTATTCCCTGAGAGGGTTACAGGTGGAATGCAAATCTCCCCGACGGGGTTTCTATTCGTCCCCTGCTAGTGCATTTTTCCTCTTGAAGAAGGGTGGTGCAGCTCTTATTTGAATCCGTTTTTTAATTCAAGAACGCTCTAATTCGACACCAATTTTTCGAACCAAGAACCAAATAACAATCTTTAACCTTTTAAAAACACAGCACCAAACGCCAAGATTACCTCAAAATGTTCAGTTCACATAAGTGGTCTTGAATTGAATGAACTGTGCAACATCATAATTGCTGGATAAATGAGCAGTCCGGGCTTATACTAGACTGTCATCTTTTACTAAGTCGTACGTACGAGATATTAATTCGTTGTACGTACGACTTAATATTATCTCGTACGTACGACATAAAGCCCCATTCCCGGCAAGATTTCAGTTATTAAGAAAAATCTGATTTCTATAATTATGTTATAAAGATTCATAAATGTAATATGAAATTGCTAATTTAACTGAATTTAGACATTCCTAAACATGAAAAAATGTAAAATAACACTGAAATTTGATTTTTTTTGTCTTCCACACAAAAAATAAATGCGGATGAATTTGTCATGTTTGATTTTGCGATAGGTCTGCGAAGAAACATAGTAGGCGCCAAAAACATCAGCATATCCAACACTGCTAGGCTAGGCCTAGCCTTACCTCGATTTAGGTTCTGTTAAAACGGTCGACATGATATTTTCCGTTGCTAGTATTGACACTTGTTAAAAATAATATTTCACAGGAATTATTTCAAATCTGTTAAAAAAATGATTCTGACCGAGATTTTGACAATTAAACAACAAACATATCTCAGGCCTACTCGATCGATCGCAGTGTGCGAGATGCTGTAAAGCTGGTTTTCCACTAGGCGAATTTATTCGCGCGAATCAAAGCGTCCGTTGGCTTCCTGAGTTCTGATTGGTTGCGCATTTTTTCGCTAGCAAAAACTCCGATAGAAACGTGAATGCGCATATGCATGAGCCGCCGCTTTCCATTCGCGCGAATAAATTCGCCAAGTGGAAAACAGGCTTTATAATATACTCTTTGATGTAAAGTACAAAAACCAATTTCATTAGAGAGGGCGCACTTTATTGACTGTATAAAGTATACATAAAAGCGAGAGCATTCCAGCGGGTGCGATCTACAGCCTCTGAATTTGCCTAGTAACGAAGAATTCATCGAGAAAATGGTAATCTCCTATGAGAAATAGTCTGTATTTCTCATTTAAAAAAAAATTCTTTTGCGTAAAACTAAAATTTAGGACAATATTTTTCCATTGTTTATAATAAATAGAGTAACATATGTATTTTTTTCAAAAAAACAATCTTTTTAGTGAAATTTTGCCGGGAATTTTAATTAGGCCTATCTCGTACGACGCTTTTGACTTAATAGCTAAGCCTACATTTTCTTTTTAATTTTCAAAAATGTTTGGGCCCTGGCCGACTGCATCCTCACCAACCATACAATTCGCCTCCGCTCTAAAACCAAGGCAATCCAACAACAGACGCACATCGCGGGACATCTTAGGCTAAGTTCAGACCTGAGAGATATGCCAGGTGTATCTAACGCCTGGCGTACGTTAATCCATGATGTAACTAGCGAAGTGTTCAGACTAGGCGACTAGCGTAAGTATTCGCGCGAAATATTTGTATTCGTAATCTCGCGTTTTATTTCCTGTTTACATCTAGGCTTGTGATTAGTCAAATCTTGGCCGAGTTCAAAATCATTGATGCATGACTGTCGTAACTCAGTGGTGTACGCTAATAAGCAATTAGTAGAGCTCCGCATAGTACACTATATGAAAATTATTATACGAAGGTTAGATTTAATGCTTGAAAAAATTTACCTAAATATAATAATTTTCCGCTAGTGTACGATGCATGCTCTACTAATTGCTTTATAAGTCAATCGCCCGTTTTTTAATATTAGTATTTTTATAACCAACTGTGTTGTACCAGTCATCGGTACTATAGTGATATGATCAGTATACTGTGTGCGTATTTATATTTTGTGCGTATGCTGATTTGTGCTCCTGCAGTAGGCAGCGCCTACGCGTTAACTACACATCAGCAGTACTGTACGGATACGATGAATAACTAGGCCTAGGCTATTTTGTAATTCGTATTGTGTTAGAAGAACTAGCAGTATCCGGATACCGCTAACGGTTAGCAAGCGCTATCGGTTAGTAAGTTGAGCGCGTTTTTATCATTAACCAATCACACGTACGCGTTTACAATTGCCAGTTTCTTATTGGCCAGTAATTCGATCATCATATTTTTGGTATCCGGATGGGGATTTTCTCGTATGGACGCACGGCAGCTGACGGTTATGCTAACCGTTAGCAGCCGTGTGAGAACATAGCCTTAAACTATAGCAAAAAAACCCCCCCAAAAACAACATAATTAACCGTCAAAGTGTGACGCGCGTGTCAATTGCGCGAATAATCGCACGTCCTGCGGTGGTTAGAAAAGCCTAATAAATTGTTGTATGAACATTATACTGAAATTATATTTGTTATCAACATTCATTTTACCGATGTGGTCTCCGGTGTTTCATGAAACTCACTTTGCAGAAAAAGTAAATAATTTTTCTGTATCTACTCATTGTCGTTTTGTGCACCTTAGTCCAAAATTGTCAAAATGACAGTTTAATGTTATATAAGAACATAATTTTTTACAAAAATCGTAAAAATTCTTTTGCTATAACTTTTCAGTTTCTTAGTCAATTTTCACAAATCAAATTGTAGTTTATAGAAGCACTTAACAAGCTTGTGATCAAAAGAAATCAGATGTAACAGACATTGCGAAGTACCCAAGTAAAATAGTTACTATCTTTATCATAATCTTCGTCATCATCTTTATCTTCATCTTCATCATCACCTTCATCTTATTAATACTATACCATAATAATCTGCACCGTCGTTACCCTATTATTCACATACCTTTTGTTCCTGCAAGACATAAAAATAAAAATTAAGAAATATAGGCCAGTTAAATTTTATTTCATATTTTAATATATTATATCATATCATATAATATCATAACATTTTTTCGTCATTTACATAAAATAATACACAGAACGTAAACGTATAAAAACATGACAAGTGTGACAACAAAACATCAGTTGATACCTGACAGGATTACTCAAAAGTGAATAAGTTCACTGTCAAGGGGCCTCCTAGACATCAGCTGGCCAAATTAAACATTATTTCATATTAAATATATATTAAATAGGCTATGTACATATTGTTAAAGCGTTATATCCGAAAAAAAATAAAACAGTTAAAATAATGGTTTATGTAAAAGATTAAAATATTAAAATTGTAATACAAAGTAATTTAAACATGTAAAGAAATGACGTTTAAGAAGACTAAGAAAGTTTTTAGTTTGTTTTGTGTGTTTGCATTTTGCTTGTATGTTGTTCTATTGAATCGAATTAAATTAAATTGCACCTCGAAGATGTACTGGCGGTTTATCCCAGAAACATGGAAGTGATAAAATGACATTTGCCATCAAATGACATGACACAATTTTAGCATATAATTATTTATAATATGCTAACATACAATTATATTGCATATATATATGTATATATATATATATATATATATATATATTTTATATATATACACATGTCTCTTATAC